CCACATCATGTGCATCAGTGTCACCGTGCATCTGAGACATTGCGGAGAAGATCCCTAAACTCCTCCAGCCCACTGACCACTATCCCATGCTCCTCATCCATGTGGGCACTAATGACACGGCTTGAAGCGCTCCCAGTCAAGTCATGAGACACTACAGGGATTTGGGAGCAGGGCTAAAGAGTCTGGGGGCACAGGTGGTGTTCTCTTAGGTCTTCCCAGTCTCGGGCTACAGGCTGAGGAGGAAGAGGAGGATCCAGTTAGTGAACCAAAGACTGCGGCGCTGGTGTCATTGGGAAGGCTTTGGCTTTGACCACAGTCAGCTCTTTGGTGAGAGAGGCAGAGAGCTGCTGGGAAGGGACGGCCTCCACTTTTCTCCGTTGGGGAGGAGGTTCTTCTCAGCCAGACTGGCTGACCTGCTCCACTGGGCTTTAAACTAAGCCCGCTGGGAGATGGGGAGACTACTGCCACTGATAGCCCGCTAAGCAGCCCTTGCAAAGTCAGCAGGCTGAGGCACTTAAGGGAGCCCACCCATGCCCCAGCCCTGGAACAACCGGTAGGCAAGGCAAGGGCCCCCAAAGGGACACTTGCCTGCCTGTACACAAATGCCAGGAGCTTGGGAAATAAACAGGAGGAACTTGTCCTCCTGCTTACAGAAAAAATTACCAAGTCATAGGGATAACTGGACTCCACCCATGACTGGACCATGGGTATAAATGGCTATACCCTGTACAGGAGAGATAGAGTAGACAAAAGTGGCGGGGGCGTAGCTCTCTATGTCAAGGAGAGCTATGCGTCCCTGCAAGCCAGCATTGGCAACTAGGGTGGATAGCTGGAGACCCTCTAGGGTAAAATCCATGGGGAACACGGCACAGGGGACACAATGGTGGGAGTCTACTACAGACCTCCCACCCCAAGTCAAGAGCTTGACCAGGAGTTTGCCAGGGAATTGGCTGAGGCCGCATGCTCCAGATCCATGGTTGTCATGGAAGACTTCAGCTACCTGGACTTCTCATGGGAAGAGCGCTCGGCTAAATCCGAGTGGTCATAAAGCTTCCTCTCCTGCATGGATGACCTCTATCTGACACGACGTCTATGGGCCAATGAGAGGTAAAGCGCTGCTCGACCTGGTACTGGCAACCAGGGACAACCTAATCAGCGACCTAATGATTGAAGGGAAGCTGGGTGACAGCGACCATGAGCTGATCACCTTCACCATCTGCTGTAAAGCTGGCAAGTCAGTCAGTAATACAGAAGTCCTTGACTTCAGGAAAGCTCGACTTTGACAAGCTCAGGAGGCTTGTCGGTGAGGCCCTAAGGGATCACAACCCCAAGGGGAGGGGAGCTTAGGAAGAGTGGTTGCTCCTCAAGGGAGCGATCCTCGATGCACAAGCTAATGCTATTCCGTCTTGGAGGAAAGGCAGCAGAAGGGCACAGCAGCCCCACTTGGCTCTTCAGGGGACTAGCTGACCTTCTGCAGCTAAAACAAAAGGCCTACAAAGGATGGAGGACAGGATCCACCTCCAAGGGTGAATATTTCGCACTAGTCTGGTCCTGCAGGGAGCAAATCAGGAAAGCCAAGGCTGCGATGGAACTCCAACTAGCTACAAGTATCAAGGACAATAAAAAGTCCTTTTTTAAATATGTAGGGAGCCAGGGGATAAGCAAAGGCAACATTGGAACCCTGCTAAACCAGATGGGACAACTGACAACTGACACCCAGGAAAAAGCCAACCTATTAAATGAGTACTTTGCCTCGGTTTTTTACCAGTCCCAAGGGACACCCCTGCCCACTATGGGACAGGGGGGCCTGGGTGAGGGAGAGTCCCTGCCCTCCATCAATGCTGACCTCAAGAAGGAACACCTTGACAGGCTGGACATCTTCAAGTCAGCTGGCCCTGACAATCTACACCCCAGGGTACTCAAGGAGCTGGCGAGCATCATAGCCCAGCCCCTGGCACGGATCTTCAAGAACTCCTAGTGCTCTGGTGAAGTGCCTGAAGATTGGAAGAAGGCCAATGTGGTGCCTATCTTCAAGAAAGGGAGGAAAGTGAATCCAGCAAACTAAAGGCCCATCACCCTGACCTCTATCCCAGGGAAGGTCTTAGAAAAGATTATTAAAGAGGCCATTCTCAACAGACTGGCTGATGGCAACAACCTGAGGGATAGTCAGCATGGGTTTGTTGTGGGTAGGTCTTACTTGACCAATCTTATCTCCTTTTACAACCAAGTGACCGATCACCTGGACAAGGGAGAGGAGACTGACGTCATATATCTTGACTTCAGAAAAGCCTTCGATCTGGTATCCCATGATCACCTCTTGGCAAAACTGGCCAACATGGACTCAGGTCCACCATGATCCGTTGGCTGGGGAATTGGCTCTGCGGTCAGACCCAGAGGGTGGTGGTTGATGGAAGTCAATCATCATGGTGCCCTGTGACCAGCAGGGTCCCCCAAGGCTGTGTCCTTGGACCTATATTGTTCAACATCTTCATTAATGATGTGGACATTGAAGTCAGAAGAGGACTAGCCAAGTTTGTCGCTGATACCAAATTCTGGGGTAAAGCATCCACACCTGAGGACAGGAGGGTGATCCAGGCTGACCTTGATGGGCTTAAGAAATGGGCAGGTGAGAACCTGATGGCGTTTAACACTGAATAATGCAAGGTTCTCCACCTTGAGAGGAAAATCCTGCAGCATCCTTATAGGCTCGGCAGTGCTATGCTAGTTACCACTATGGATGAAAGGGACTTGGGGGTCATGACTGACCACAAGATGAACATGAGCCTTCAATGTGACGCTGTGGGCAGTAAAGCAAGCAAAATACTGGCTTGCATCCATAGATTTCTCAAGCATCCATAGATTTCTCAAACAAATCCCGGGACATCATTCTCCTGTTATATTCGGTCTTGGTGAGGCCGCAGCTGGAGTACTGCATCCAGTTTTGGGCTCCGCAATTCAAAAAGGATGTGGAGAAGCTTGAGAGAGTGCAGAGAAGAGCCATGCACATGATCAGAGGTCAGGAAAACAGACCTTATGATGAGAGGCTGAGAGCCACGGGACTCCTCAGCCTAGAAAAGCGCACTGACAAGTGCAAGGTGCTGCACCTGGGGAGGAAGAACCAGCAGCATACCTACAGGCTGGGGAACTCCCTTCTTGTCAGTGCAGAGGCAGAAAAGGATCTTGGAATCATTATTGATGCCAAAATGAACATGGGATGACAGTGTGGGTATGTGGTCAGGAAGGCCAACCACACCTTGTCATGCATCCACAGATGCACCTCGAGCAGGTCCAAGGAGGTGATCCTCCCCCTCTATGTGGCACTGGTCAGGCTGTAGTTGGAGTACTGTATCCAGTTCTGGGCACCGCACTTCAGGAGGGATGTGGACAGCATTGAGAGGGTTCAGAGGAGGGACACCCGCATGATCAGGGGGCAGCAGGGCAGGCCATATGAGGAGAGGCTAAGAGACCTAAATCTGTTCAGCCTCCACAAGAGAAGGTTGTGGGGGGATCTAGTGGCCTGTTACAAACTAGTCAGAGGAGACCAGCAGGCATTGGGGGAGTCCCTGTTCCCCCGAGCACTACCAGGAGTGACTAGAAATAATGGCCACAAGCTGGCAGAGGGTAGATTCAGACTAGACATCAGGAGGCGCTACTTCACAGTCAGGGCAAATAGGACCTGGAACCAACTTCCAGGAGAAGTGGTGCTGGCTCCTACCCTGGGGGCCTTTAAGAGGAGGTTAGACGAACACCTTGCTGGGGTCGTTTAACCCCAGTACTTTTTCCTGCCATGGCAGGGAGTTGGACTTGATGATCTGCTCAGGTCCCTTCCGACCCTACCAACTATGAAACATTGTACTCGGCCTTGGTGAGGCCGCAGCTGGAGTACTGCGTCCAGTTTTGGGCTCCTCAATTCAAAGAGGATGTGGAGAAGCTTGAGAGAGTCCAGAGAAGAGCCACATGCATGATCAGAGGTCAGGAAAACAGACATTACGATGACAGGCTGAGAGCTACTGGACTCTTTAGCCTGGAAAAGCGCAGGCTCAGGGGCGATCTGATGGCCACCTATAAGTTTATCAGGGGTGTTCACCAGGACCTGGGGGAATGATTGTTCACCAGAGCACCCCAAGGGATGACAAGGTTGAACAGTTATAAACTCCAGCAAGACTGTTTAAGGCTGGACATAAGGAAGAACTTCTTTACTGTCTCAGCCCCCAAGGTCTGGAATAGCCTGCCACCGGAGGTGGTTCATGCACCTACACTGAATGCCTTCAAGAGAAATTTGGCTGCTTATCTTGCTGGGATCCTATGACCCCAGCTGACTTCCTGCCCCATGAGCTGGGGGCTGGACTCAACGATCTTCCAAGGTCCCTTCCAGCCCTAATGTCTATGGAATCTACGAAGAAATGGTGGTAGCGTGTTTCGAAATAAAACATGTTTGATGAGATTGAGTTCAAAGCGCCCCACTGCCATTTTTTCAGTGCAGGGATGCATGGGAACACTGATACACATGACGTGCAGGTGCTTTGAATTAGCGTGGCTTGCTAATTAAAGCATCCAGCATCGCGTCCCACAGCACAGGATAAAATGCTCTTTAATGTAGTCTATATTATCTAAGGATTTCAAGCCACTGTGCAGGCATTAATGAACTCATCTTTACACACAAATGCACAGTTTCCTGTGAGGACTGTAATTATTATCCCAGTATCAATTGGGCAAATGATTTACAGAGAAGGTAAGAAGGAGAGTTGAGAATGTAACTCAGATGTTCTCACTCTAGGTTCTGTGTTTTAAGAAAATTTTCTGTGTCTTTGTGGTGTTCTAAAGAGCACTGATGAAACATCGCAACAAAAGTCTTTGCTTCAGTAACTTCATTCAACTACCTCTGTATCACAGACATTTCTTTGACTTAGTTAACATTGTTTTGCAAACAAATTTCGACAACTTGTTCAGAAAGGTTCATGTGAGTTGTTATTTTAATAGTATCAAACTGTTTCACATACCTCCAATCTTGGCAGTATAGGCAATTCCTACTATGCAGTGTGAGTTGTTTGCAGTGGCTGCCACTTCTCCAGCACAACGGGTTCCATGCCTGCAGGCAGACAGAATTTTTTTAAGTAAGTAAAATTATCCACCAAAATGCAGATTGGGAGTGTTCAGCGTCTTTGATCTTGCTCATCCTTGAATGTTTAAAATGTATCTGGATGCCTATGCAAGATGGTACTAGATGATCCCTCCCCATAGCTCATGTTGGACACAAAACTATCACATATATGTTTAATCATTTCTTAGACTATTTGCTCTGTCACAGCAGTTTATGAATAAATTCTATCTCTTCCACTAAGGTCTATTTGATAATCATATCATGAGTATCCTTTTAAATTTCTCAGTGCAAATTTTTTAGCAATAGGCAATCCACACAGCATGTTACAAAGACATAGTCAACTAATGCATAATCCATAGTGTCAGGTATCATGTCGGTACAGTATACATGTCAAAAAGGAGGCTACAGGGTCTATAAACAGAACTTGGACAAATCTGATTTGGACAGTTTTTTCCATTTGGTGCAAGACCCAGATAAGAACAGGATTTTGTACTTCATTCTCCTGAAAGAACTGGCAAGCATACAATACAACTAGAACTCTCCTTTCCCCATTGCTTCCACTGCATATTTTTAACAAACAGTAAGCCAGGAAGGCTCTGTCTGAATCACCGTCCTACAGTGCCTGCTAAAGTTTACTCTTGGGCTAGGGACAGACATTACACATAAAGCAGCTTAAGTAATCAGAAACTGCTTTAAACCTGTAACAGAACAGATATTCAGTGCACATAAACCAGTTTGAAAATAGCTGAAACCAGTTTGAGATAAACCTGGTTGAATGTAGTATCACTTAACTGATTTGGGTCAAACTGGTTTATGCAATGTCAGTCCCTGACCCCTTCCTGGTTTAAGTTAAACCAGAGTCCCCCAGCATCCTGGCATGCTCTCTGGGCTGGGCAGAGCTCTCAGCTCCAGAGAACTGGGCTGGCCCCTCCCCTCTGCTCCCTGGCTGCAAAGACTGCAGGCACAACAGGGTCTGCCTGGCTTCCACCTGCCCTACCCCTCACCCTGCTCACTGCTCAAGCAGGGATCCACCCCACTCCCTCCCATCTCCCACAGCACAGCACAGCACAGCCCCAGCCCCATGGACACTAGGCATGTGGCATGCTAATTAATGCTGAGAGGTGTCAGTGTGTTCATGTCTCCAATATCACTGAGACAGGCAGACAGAACAGTGACCGCTTAGGGCTTTTTGGAGCTAATCAACAGGTCAGCTGGTAAACTGTTTAAGAAGAGTTTGAAGTAATGGAGAGAAGCTATTGTTTTGTTGATGGGGTACCCCCCCCCCCCCCGGCTGTTTGCCTGTCAGTTTGCTGCAGACTGTATAAAAAAGCAGGGAGGGAGATTGAGAAGCTCTGTATCATCAACAGATGCATGCACTGCACACCCCCACTTACCTCAGAGTGATGCCAGACCCCACCCCCCTGCTAACACTCCTGCTCATGAGCAGCGAGTGGGGAAAAGCCAGGGATGGTGCAAGCAGACCTCACTAATCAGAGACCTGACAGGGCCTAGCCATGCCCAGCTCAGCTCAGCGCTGTGGAAGGAAGGGAGGGCTGCTCTAGTGCCCCTAGCTTCTAGCCTGAGCCACTGCAGGCATGTGCCTGCATGTCTGGGATCTCTGTGTAGTTACAAACTGATTTAGCCTAGCAAGGCTAGACTAACCTGCAAAGATTGAATCAATTCAGGCTCAGGCTTTTTGAATTTCTGTCCCTAGCCTTGAGGACACAGAGGTACATGGTGACTTTTATATGCAACATATTTTAATGTTGCTTCATTTCATAGGGTTGCTTTCATACATAAACTTTATCCTAATCCTTTGCAGAGTTAAATAAAACATTCAGAGGCCATGTCCAGATGAGTAGCGGCATACGTTTGCAATAGCACAAACACCAGTTGCACAAATTAGCGCTGCTACTTTATGCTGCAGCACATTCCCCTTCATGTGCCCTTTGTTGTGAGACGCTTTGTCCCACTGTGGTCAAACTTCCCATGGCCAGTTTCAGTTTCTGGCCAGGCTCCATGTGCTGTGGGTGAGAAGGGGGATGTGGTGGAGCTGGAGCACAAGGTTAGCTGGAGCACATGGCTAGCCGGTAGGCAGCCCCCACGCTGAGGCACCCTGTGCCACAGCAAGCAGGGGTGTGTCCGGGGGCTCCACAGCACATCAAAATGGAGAAGCAGGCACCCCAGGGTTTCCATGCTATTTTTGTGTGCTTTGTGCCACATTTTTTCAGAGGGGTTTTTTGCTACCAGGAAAACCTGGTGGCAAATTTTGCCCCCATGCTGGAAATTTTCAGTGCTGCACATGGTTTAACATGCAATACATGTGGTTTGTGGTGCCACAAAGAGGTTTGTGGTGCCAAAAACCACATGCACCTGCATGTGTGGACACAGCTAGAGTCTCAAAGAGCCAAAAAATGGAGCAGATGCACAGAGAGAGATAGATATAGATAAGAGAAAAAACAGGATTTCAAATGAGATTAAGAATGAGTTGGCTTATTGACAACCTGGTGCATTCAAATGAGCGCACATGTGCCTATTGCCCCATCTCAAACCCCTTTGAGATGGGGCAAGAGGCATGTGTGGGAATGAAAAAATGTTCCTCCCTGCTGCACGTTTGGGGAGAATATTAGACTCCTATCCACTCCCCCAGCCCCCCCAGACCTGCCCAAGAAAAACAACCCCCCCAGCACTTACCAGAAGACCAGCTGCTATCTGTATTACTGGGGCCCCGCCTGCACAGTGTGGGGCAGAAGGACAGCCCCAGCCCAAGCCCTCCTGCCCCCCGCTGCCCTCTGCTGCCTGGGGGCCTCTGCCAGGAGGCCCCAGAGCACCCCCAGCCCCTGCTTCTAGAGTAAGTAGAGGCTTTCTTTTCTTTTCTTTTTTTTTTATAAAGGGATAGTGCCTGGGGTTGGGGGTTCAGCCATGGGAGTCTGGGGGTGCAAGTGGGCGATGGGGCTGGGCCGGGCAGCCATTGAGGGTACGGGGGGGTAGGTCTGGGTGGGGCAGCCATTGGGGGGGCTTCAGCAGCTGGTGGGCGATGGGGCCAGGTGGGGCAGCAGTTGGGCATGTAGGCCTTGCAGTGGGGGTGGTGGCTCCTGGGGGGGCCATTTGGCCCCTGTGGGGGGGCCATAACCCCTATTGGGGGGCGACAGACCTTGTGGGGGGACTGCAAACCCCGTTGGGGGGCTGTAGCCCTTGTGTGGGGGCTGAACACCCTAGTGGGCGGCCATAACCCCTGTGTGGGGGCCGGCCATAGCCCCTGTGGAAGGGCAGCAAAATATATATTCATGTATTCATGAAACATGTATTTAGAGTTCACTTTATTATTATGATAAGAGACACTGGTAGGCTTCCACATTGCTTTAACACTATAGATATATTAATAAAATATTGCCTAACTGATCACTGTCTCCGTCTCACTTTCTCTCTCTCTTTATAGTGGCCTTTTGTTTTAACTGTGGAGGAACATGGATTTTGGGGTATTTTACAGAGTGACTTTGGTATTTTTTTTATCAGGGATTTTTCAGTTTTCCAATAGGCACCATGAGAATTCTTGCTAGGGAGGCCAGTGGCAGGACGCTGCCTGCTCAGAGCTGGCACATTGGACTCAGCTGGATGTGGCTGACCTCCTGGCCAAATGGGGCCAGGAGGACATGCTTTGACAGTTCAAAGCAGGCCACCATACCTGGAACATCTTATGGGCAATAGCTGCTCAGATGGCCGGGCAGGAGACACACATGGTGGTAGTGCCCCCTCGCCAGCCACAGCCCACTGGCAGCTGGGCAGATGCCTCTACTAGCTGTGCAGTCCCCATCTGGGTCTGGCAGGTGCACAGCAGGTCACAGCCAGGCAGCAGCCTCCACTGCCAGACTGCTGCAGTGGGTAAAGGGTGCAGAGTCCAGCTGGCACAAGGGGTAGTGTCCCCAGGTACCACTTCATAAATTCATAGATGTTAGGGTTGGAAGGCACCTCAATAGATCATTGAGTCCAACCCCCTGCATAGGCAGGAAAGTGTGCTGGGTTCAGATGACCCCAGCCAGATGCCTATCTAACCTCCTCTTGAAGACCCCCAGGGTAGGGGAGAGCACCACCTCCCTTGGCAGCCCATTACAGATTTTGGCCACTCTGTAAAGAAGTTCCTCCTAATGTCCAGTCAATTGGCTGGGCCCCAGAAGCTCCTGAGAGCAAATAGCCTTGAGCTCCTTGCCAGGGCAGCTTTTTGTACTGATGGGGCCAGGACAGGGTGGCTTTTTATACTGCAGGGGACAGCACAGGTGCTGGCCCCGGTCTCTAGCTCCCCCTGGCTGCTGATCCACGAGGAGCTAGGCAGGGTTATTTTGCCCCAAGTGGCACAATTTGCTCCACAACAAAGTGCATGTCCAACCACGTGCACTGAGGCAAAAAGCCCCAGCTCAAATTTGCACTGCTTCTACTTGAGCTGCTACAAGCGCACGTGCTTGCATGTGTGGACACATCCCATGGAGGTATATATAAACCTGGGGCTTGGAAGTTATAAAAGTCAAGATAAAATTAGATGGCAGGAGGGATGAGCTTAGGTGCTTGTGTACACAGGCCATATTATACAGGGACTATTAGACAGATCTGAAGACACAGGGCATTTAGGTGAAGAATTGATTCTTGGGATCAAGAATGATGTGATGCTACACACAACAGCCATAGTTCCTGTTTTTCACACTGAAGTAACCAATTTGACTTCACTAGATTCAGTCCTGATTTATGGGGCAGTAAGAAGTAAAGCATGTTTGAAGATGCTTTTCTTACTCAAGATTTATACCTTTGAGACATTTAGCTGAGGGGAACTGAGACAAAGCAACTAATTTGCTTGGTCAAGAAAGATAGAATGAGTAGACAGGTATGAGATAGTAACAGTGCCAAAAACACGCACATTTCAGTAGTATCACTGTGAAAATCCAGGCTAACTGGTAGCTTTTTGTTAATGTGATTATGCATATTTCTGAATATCTAAA